GTTTCTTCCTGCTAGGGAGTTCTTCCTTGCCACTGTCGCCTCTGACCTGCTCACTGGGGGCTTTGGGTGTGGATGCTGTAAAGCGCTTTGAGATGATGTCATGTTGTGAAAATGCGTTATACAAACAGAACTGAACTGAATTGCAGTTAGAGATGGATGGATTGGGGGACTGAGTCTTTACTGGGGGGAGGGGGCGATGGCAAACTATACATGACTTAAGCCAATAAATGCTAATTTATATGGGGGGGGGGGGCTAAAAAACATTTTAGGGTGGCTAATGCCCCCTAAAATAGTCCTGACTATGCCCCTGAGCTAAAGGACAATTACTTATGTTACAGCGCCTGAAATATAACGGCATGTATGACGGTGACAGGAAGGTGGGAAGGTCAGTACAGCCGGCATCACAGGGCCTTCTGCTATTTCCTGAGAATATTTGGTCTCCTTTTGTAAAGGGGCCTCGTCCCCATTTTTGTGAATAAATGTGCTTAATCTCTGCTGTGCTGCACCTTTGTCCGCCCGAGGCTCTCGTTCGTCTTACGACTGCTATCCGCCACGCCGTCTGTGCAGTCGCTAGGTGCCAGCGTGCGTTGTTTGTATGTCCTGTCACCCTGCACTACCCTGTGTACACGAATATGTGTGCGGAAGCGAGAGAATCCCCCCCCCCCACCTGTTGTGAGCTCATCCTGGTCAATGTTTCCCTGCACCACAGTGCCAACCACCACCCACACCCGTGCGGTCAAACGCCGAGCCCCACCTACACCCGTGCGGTCAAACGCCGAGCCCCACCCACACCCGTGCGGTCAAACACCGAGCCACACCCACACCCGTGCGGTCAAACGCCGAGCCCCACCCACACCCGTGCGGTCGAACGCCGAGCCCCACCCATACCCGTGCGGTCAAACGCCGAGCCCCACCCACACCCGTGCGGTCGAACGCCGAGCCACACCCACACCCGTGCGGTCAAACGCCGAGCCCCACCCGAATCCACAGGCTGCAGCACGCAAGCACTGATGTAGGTAACCCACCACACCCTCATTTTATTCATCATTTCCCCATCAAACACAAAACATTTTCTCCTTTTCTTCTCCCTTTATCCCCTTCTCTGTATATAGTAGGGATGTCCCAATCTGCCTTTTTAGTTCCCCAACCGATCCAATTCGATATTTATATCTGCCGACTCCGAGTGCTGATCTGATCTTTTAATCCCTACGTAAATACACAGACACGTACTGTGGGCACTGGTGCATTTTTCATCTGAGTAAACCAGGCGATTTCACAGTATTCTTCCTTATAATGTTTCGGCTATTGCCCGATTAGATTCGTTATATTACGTGACGCTCAGTTGCTACCTCGTCCCCAGAGGGTGGCATTGCAAACATTACAGGTAGCCGCTTGGCTACTTTGAGTTTCCAGCTGAAAGAATTTCCATGCGGCTGACATCTTAATAGTTTGTAGTTTCAAACCATGTGGCTTATGGCAGCGTGCGACGGAACCTTACATTCTGCGGAACCAACAGAAATTAGGCAGATGTAGAAAATTAAATGTATTGACCTTTGGATCAGGCTACGGTAGCCGATACCGATCGATTAATAAATGTCTGGGTCACCCGCATTCCAGTCTTTGATATCGGCTCAGGACATCACTGGTTTTTAGCCTCCATTCCTCTCTCCTTCTTCACTTTGCTCTCCCACCTTAAACTGGGATCAGAATGGTTGCCTGGGTAACAGCGTGTTCTACACTCACACAGGCAAAGCTACTGATAGAAACTGATGTGGCTCCTTAGCAACCCGCTACTCCTGTGGCAACCAGTGGAACAGAAGCCCCTTAGTAACCACATATTCTGATGTAGCCTCTCTCACTTTCTCTCTCTCACTTTCTCTCTCTCTTTCTCTCTCTCTTTCTCTCTCTCTTTCTCTCTCTCTGTTTTTCTTGCAGTACTTGCTGAAGATGGCTCATTCCTCTCCAACTCCAGTTTCTCTTGCCACCTTCACAGCCTCCCTCAGAGTTCAGGTCTGAAGTGATGCTTCCAGACAGACCCCAAGGGAGCCTCACAATGAAGAGCCCAATGGAGCCTCACAATGAAGCGCCCAAGGGAGCCTCACAATGAAGAGCCCAAGGGAGCCTCACAATGAAGAGCCCAAGGGAGCCTCACAATGAAGAGCCCAAGGGAGCCTCACAATGAAGAGCCCACAGAACTGCAGTGTGTTTCCATCTGTATGACGGCATGCAGCCAGTCCACACTGCAGTGTGTTTCCATCTGTATGACGGCATGCAGCCAGTCCACACTGCAGTGCCCCTCCCAGTCTTTAAAACCCTCACATGCCCTCATACCCCCCTCTATGTCCGCATCTCATTGTCTCATTGTTCAAGTTACATTCATATTCAGAATTGCTGGACAACTGTACGCTGAATTATAATACACCTACTCAACTGAACTGACATGGCACTGGAACAGATATATAATACAGATTTCATTGAGTGGGGGGGGGGGGTGGTGCATGGATCACATTTGGAGACCGAATTGTCCCCAGAGTGTGGTAAAACCTGAATCTTTCTTTAGGGGACATTTTTAGGTCACAATTTGGATAACCTCAATCTAATAAATCTAATAAAATCTAATAAAAATCTGTGAGTACAATGAAAAAAGTAAAAAGGTCAAAAGTCATGTCTTTTGTTTAGTTACTTATGGTTAAGGGTGTCATGATTGGGATTACTGTTTTGCCTATAGAAATGCATGGAAAGTCTCCATTTAGATAGCTACATCAACATGTGTGTGTATATCTGTGAGTGTGTGTGCGTGTGTATATCTGTGAGTGTGAGTGTGTGTGTATATCTGTGAGTGTGAGTTTGTGTGCGTGTGTATATCTGTGTGAGTGTGTGTGCGTGTGTGTATATATCTGTGAGTGTGAGTGTGTGGGCGTGTGTGTGTATATCTGTGAGTGTGAGTGTGAGTGCATGTGTGTGCGTGTGTGTGCATCATCCAAATATGGTGTACTAGTGCTCCAGTCAAAAAATGCATGGGTGTATTGGACGGTTGGTGCAAATCCTGAGGTGACTTTAGCAGAGGTAAGACTTTGCACAGTACTGCATGTTTAAATATTTCCCCCAAGGCCTCCTACGTATTAGAAGGGTATCGTTAGGCCTATTTTAGAGGGGCTTTAGCCCCCTTGAAATGTTTTTTACCCCTCCCCCCCCAAATAAATGTATATTTGTATTTAAATGTATATATATACTTATTAGTCATGAATAGTTTGCCATCTGCCCCTGCTAGTAAAGACTCAGCCCCCCGATCCATTCATCACTAAGTACACCCCTGCCTATTAGTACTGTTCATCCACCCAGCCAGTCCGGAAGCCAAACCCCACATCAACGTACACATCACCACGGACAGCACCGTACAGTACCTCTGCTGCAAGCCGCCTCTTTAATAAGCCACAGCATTACAAACACTCCTACCCTGTAGCAAGCTGACATCCCCTGACCTTGAGTGCAGTGAACAAACAGTTCAGGGGAAAGAAGGAGATTTAGGGCCGGAATTGCACAAACACACACACACAGACACACAGACACACAGACACACACACACACACACACCCTTGAGCAGTGTTGAATGGGCTGAGGTGGGGGGGGGTGCTGGAACAGAATGTCGACTGCATCACTCAGATTCCCAGCCGAGAACGAGATAACTAGAGAACCCGAGCCTGGATAAGCCCCGTTCAGTGCCCTTCTGGTTAGCTATAATATATATAATAAAACTTTTCTTACCTCCAGCAGCACTGGACACGGTTGGCCAATTCTGGACCAGAACCCCCTGCGCACCCTGCATCACCGAGGACTCTTCCATATGGACCGAGCTGGGAGAGAGAGTGAAAATGCATTAGACACACATACACACACCCTGTGCCAACACTGGTCAGGGTAAAAGATGGAAAGTGCTGAATGCTGAATAGGAAAGTCAAGAGGTGGTGAAGGTGAGTCACCCAGGTGAGACTCAGACAGTGATATTGCCTATGTCAGCCTAACCCGTCAGTCACAGTCCAGGTCATCTGCTGACACTAAGACATTGATACTGCCTATGTCAGCTTGACCCGTCAGTCACAGTCCAGGTCACCCAAGTGAGACACAGACAGTGATACTGCCTATGTCAGCTTGACCCGTCAGTCACAGTCCAGGTCACCTGGGTGACACTAAGACAGTAATACTGCCTATGTCAGCTTGACCCGTCAGTCACAGTCCAGTTGGTACATAACGTAGACCTGAGGTTTAGACACAGTCCTCATAAACCATCTTCAGTGTTACATGATATATAAGGAGTGTTATCTGCACTGGCACATGCACGGAAAGCAACTTACACAAATTTACACTTTCACTTATTCATACAGCTATGCATCTGTGACCCAATTTAGGCTGAGTATCTAGGGGGACAGGAAGACGGCAGCAGCCCAGTCAAGAGACTTTGGTGAAATGTAGGACGCAGAAGCGCAGCTAAGAGTGACATTTTTCAGGTCCTCTGAAAAACACCAAAGCTGCCATTAAAGGACGTCGAGACATTCTGTAAATGCTGAGGGACAACCGGTCAGTCGCTCCTGTCGACGCAGGTCAGAGCCTTTATTCAATTACTTTTAGACGGAAGGCGATGTAATGGCTTAAAGTCATCAAGCAGAAGGGAATCTTTTGATTCTTTTTGCTGTGCACAGACTGGAAGACTCACAAGTCCCCAAGAACACTAAGTCGATGCAGCTCAAAGCTACTCAGATCCGCGCCCAGACAAGTAACTTCTCAAAGGAAACAGCCAAGCTGGCACCAGGTTCATGAAGACAAGTGACATGGGGAAGGTACAGATTCCAACATAAAAGGTCCCTCATGAAGCATCACTGTACCTCTAGATTTGGACAACATTTTATGCTCCTCTCTCCAACCTTAATGAACACACCTCTGCCATATGTCCAGTAATATGTGAGCGTGCATCATGAACAGTGGATCCATTCCCATGCCAGTTACATGACACCCCTTTACAACAAATGCCCTGGTTTCTTACTGATCTAAAATCAGTTTAGGGATCTGGGGAAGAAAAAGCCTCCCACTATTCTGAGCCCTGCAGATGCTAAGATAGACTATCAACTTATTCATAAACAGATTCCATAGGCAGAATACACAGATGTAGCTGGGAAAAAAAACAGAACTTGTTCCGTTTTTGAATCTCTGGTAGGCAAAATGTGTGCGAGCCTTAAGTAATATCTGGCTTTTACAATATATACCAGTGATTTTGTGTGAAAAATAACAGGTGAGTATGAAGCTCTCTCTGTGTGTAGAGTCATTACTGACACTTACATTACTTACACTTCATCCTTCAGTTCTTACCTCTGCATTCCTGCCCTCAAGGAAGCGGAGTAGCGCCAGTCAGCGTTGGGGGCTTTAGGCTGAGGTACAGGGAGACAGCAAGGGGAACAATTAGCATTTGGCTACATCTTTAATTTGGCAGTGCCCGTCCATTCCAGTGCCGCACTGAATTCTGCGGCACTCGGGGTCGGACGCTCAGGAGTGTGACAGTGTGGCTTCCAGGGAGACATTTAAACTTCTCATCTCCACTCACCTGAAATGTACAGACCTGATTTCCCAGAAGACACTTGTGTCAAGTTTAAAAATAAATGAGTGACGGCTATGTTGGGGGGTAATTAAAACAATGACGCAAGCAGACACAGGTGCCCTGATCAGTGAGTGAGGTACAATGCAAATGACTGTCAATAGTGGCCACATCTAAAACTGAAGTAAGACATAATGAACTATCAGTCTGTCATGACCAAACAACATCATGGTAAACGCATGAGGCTGCTACAAATGAACAACATCTCCACAAACCATCAGTCTGCTCTGAACTAACATCATCACAGAATTCATTTCTCTATGAATTAATAACATCGCACCAAAACCAGTCCCGTCCTAAATAAGAACTTCACAGCGTTACACTCAATCTGCTATAAATGAAAGAACATTATAGTAAATGCATCAGCCTGCCTGAGCTTTGCAATGCAGGTCTTCATATGACCCAACCACACTTGAGGGAGCCAACCCTCAAGCAGATACACGACATTGACAGATTTGCTGGCATTTACAAAATAGCTTAATGAAAAACCAATTGACCATGTGGTCAAGATCATGGTCACGGTCAGGATGTTGGCTGACAATGACAAACGGTTGAGCAACATGTTAGCATTTAGGATAATAAGTGAACAAAGTGGACACTGCATGGGAACTTCATGGCAAGGAATGGTGGGTGAGACCAGGGTCCATGCAGACACACCTGCAGCGCGGCGTCAGGCATGCTGAGTCTCCGGACAAACATCTGGCCACTCTGGCCCGTGAAGAAGCGTTCGGAGCCCATGGTGCCCCCAGGTGGGAGGCCGGTGTTATAGAACATGAAGGTGTCGCTGCCAGATGTGGCCGTCAGACACGTCTTGTAGCAGTAGGTTTTGGTCAACGAGCCATTTCCTCGGACTTCGATGTAGTGGGGCTCCACCTTTAGGTCACGCCGAAGTACTACATTGTTGCCGGGCTGCTGGCCGCCGGGGCCCATGACGCCCTCTGCAGGAACCTTCTGCGTCACACAGCAGGGGGAGCAGGAGCCTGGCTGGGTGCAGTAGGCGTGGCAACGTACTATGGCAAGAACCACCACAGTCAGGAGGAACACGAAGGTGGTGGCACTGAGGGCGACGATCAGGTAGAGAGTCACGTTGGAGAAGAGCAGCGCCCCGGGTGGTCGGATAATCCGCTTGGGATCGGGGATCAGCTTGGGCGGGGCCTCCATGACGGCCACATTGACGGTGACGGTGGCGGACAGCGATGGCTCGCCCTGGTCATGCACCACCACCAAGATACTGAAGAAGGTGGAGTTGTCTTCTACCACCTTGCGGGTGGTGCGCACCTCACCCGTGTGCTCATGCACCTTGAACAGATCGGGCTCGCTGGCCTGCTCCAGCGAGTAGAGCAGCCAGGCGTTGCGGCCTGCGTCCGCGTCGTACGCGGCCACCTTGGTCACCAGGTGGCCGGCCTCGGCGTTCTTCAGCACCGTCTCGGTGAAGCGCGAGCCGTTGGCCGGAAGGCTCAGGATCTCCGGGGTGTGGTCATTTTGGTCCGTCACATACAGGTAGACGGTAGCCACGCGGCTGAGGGGGGGAACGCCGCCATCTTGGGCCTTCACCTGGAAGTGAAACTCCCGCAGCGTCTCGTAGTCGAAGGAGCGCAGGGCGTAGGCCTCGCCCGTGTCGGGCTGGACGGACACATATGACGTGACAGGGATGCCGTGGTTGTTGTCGTTGAGCACAGTATAGGTGATGCGGGCGTTCTCGTTAATGTCGGCGTCCTGCGCCCGAACACTGCATAGCGAGGCCCCGGGGGCGTTGTTCTCCACCACATACACGGTGTAGGACGTCTGCTCAAAGCGAGGCGGATTGTCGTTCACGTCTGCGACGTCCACCTCGATGGTCATCTGGGACGAAAGCGGGGGGGTGCCCCCGTCGGTGGCACGCAACGTCACATTGTAGGCGGCGGTGGTCTCCCGGTCCAGGAAGGCGGCCGTCACCAAGGTGTAGTAGTTCCGGAAAGACTTAATCTTAAATGGAAGCTCTGGGTCAATTTCCAGGCTGACCTGCTTGTTGGGACCCGAGTCTCGGTCCGTTACGCTGATCAGTGCCACCACTGTGTCGGCCCGTGCGTCCTCCCGTACGGGGCTGGACAGTGAGGACAGCACGATTTCCGGCACGTTGTCATTCACGTCCACCACTTCCACCACCACTTTACAGTGCACAGCCACGGCTGCGGGACCCCGGTCCATAGCCTGCACATACATTTCGTAGGAGCTGGTGTCCTCGTAGTCGACGGGGCTCCGCAATCTGATCTCCCCCGAGTTGGCATCCATGCTGAACATCTGCCGGACCCTCTCTGGTGTGTAGCTGCTGAAGGAATAATACACCTCCCCATTTGAGCCCTCATCCAGGTCAGTGGCATTTAGCTTTATGACCAGCGTGTCCTTGGGTGAGTTTTCCAGCAGTTTCACTTTATACACCGAGCTGTCAAAAACAGGAGTGTTGTCATTTGCATCCAGGACGCGCACGTTAATTGTAGCCGTGCCGGTTTTCGCTGGCGTGCCTCCATCCACAGCTGTCAGGATAAACTGATGGGAGGCGGTCTGCTCGCGGTCCAATGCCTTTTTAAGCACGAGCTCAATTTGCTTATTGTTCACCAATGGTCTGTTAGTGTCCAGCGCGAAATGCTCGTTTGGACTGAGGCGGTACAGCCGAATTGAATTAGACGCTATGTCAAGATCTTGCGCGCTCTCCATAGGAAAGCGAGAACCCGGGAGAGCAGCTTCGGAAATGTCCAGCTGGATCTCGCCCGTGGAGAACTGCGGCGCGTTATCATTCACGTCCAAAACCTCCACCTCCACATTATGCACTTCCGACGGATTCTCGACCACAACCTCCAGATTTAATAGGCAGGGTTTGTTTAAATCGCATAGCGTCTCTCGATCTATCCTGTCAGTCACACACAGTTTTCCATTTTTAGGATTGATACCCACGTATCGCTTTCCGTCGATAGAGGTTACCTTTAAATTTCGAGTCGACAGCTTTTTCAGATCTAGCCCCAAATCAAGCACGATATCTCCAACTACTGTTCCTTCTTCCGATTCCTCCGGAACCGAGTACCTAATTTGTCCAAATGCAAATCCGCCAAAAAGAAAAAAGACAAAAACGAAAATGGATATAGGCACGTTCCTCTTAATGTTCATACACCCCCTTTCCACGGCCATTGCAAGCGCATAGATTCCGCACACGGATTGAAATCAGCTATCCGTCTTTTTCTCTTCCAGGATGTTGCTTCGAGCAGCCTCGTTAAAAAAGACTCGATGTCCAGCTACATGCAAAACGACCAACACATCCACTCGGTCTGTCTTTAAACTGGTACTTCAGCGATGCCTCCATTTTCCTTTGTCCCTGCTTCTCTTTTTTTCTGCTCGGCGGCGGCTGACGGGTGTGTTTCCCTGCCGCTGGTGCTGCGGATCGCTCCTCGCAGCCCCCCCGCCCCCCTCTATCACCACCCTTATTTCTCTCCATTTCTCTCTCCCTCTCTGCCTGAGCGTGCGGAGCGGAGTCTGTGCTGGGGGATGGGCAGCCTTATCAAATACAGTTTGCTGCTTTCTTGCAGCTCAGAGTAAAATATTTAACCAAATTAAATTGTCGAAAACAAGACAATACTCATTAGTCACTGAGTACTTTCATGCACGCTTCATCGTGTGCACTAAATCAGATTTTACACGATGACGGGTGATACGTTCATTCGGAATTCTTTCCATCGGCGCCCGCATAGTAAATTTAGAAAACCTCATTACTGTTCTTTTTTTAACATTCACACGTCCTAGTCATTTGTGGAAGAATGGTACTGCGGTAGGGGGAATCATGGGGTTAATGTTTAGTCTTAGGCCTTACGCAAGAAGATAATGTTACATTTGAGGTTGTGGGAACAATACTTTGTTCTATAGGCTTCGGGACAGAGTATGTTGTTTTTGTTAAGGTAAAATTTGGCAGAATAAGTATGCTGGAGAAAATACGGCCTGGAACAGGCTGACCTCGCACCAGTCATGGAACTGTTCTAATTGGAAAGATGGAATGAATCTGTTATCTGTTGGGCTTGTGAAGGAAGGCTGTCATGTTAACAACCAACAGCACAGGAGCAATTGGGGATGGGGTGGGGGGGGGTGGGTGCTTTTATTGCTTGTCATAATTTCAGCTAATAATGTAAAATATTTAACGTCATTACAGGATATCACAGGTACACTTGCTTAACTGTCAGTACAAATAAAATGTAACGATAGAACAATAGGTAATTAATCAATCATGTAATCATTATGCATGTACTTAGTAAGCAAGATTGGAGGTCGGAAGAGGAAATTTATGGATGGACATGCTACATGGTGACCAATCATGTCTAAGAAAAACTTTTAGGGGGGGGGTTGAAAGTATATAACAGAGCACTTTTCTTTTGCAGGGTGTGCAAGCACCCAGGTTATCCGGAGCACTCTGTCTCACCTCACTTGCATCACCTCACTAATAAAGAAGATTTTTCCTTACAAACTCTGAATTTTGGGCTAAGTTTCCTGCCTGGGGCGAAGACGGTCCCTCGGAGTTCAACTTTTCAACATTACTCTAGGTTCTTTATAAGTGACTGAATACAGCCAAAACACCACCACGACAACAAAAGATTTAGATTCTGACATGCTTAGCTGATTTAAAACAAATAAATTTAAAAAATGGATGTTTAAACTCAATGCGAATTTCCCCAAGTATCAGTTAGAGGCAAGTGTCCTTAGGCAATTTTAATGTGTGAGAAAACATAAATTACATCACTTCCTCTAGTGCTGAATGACATCATTACCTGCCAGGTCACCTTCTCCTACCCCTAGCCCAGGACCAACAATGGCGATTAAACAGCATGTTTAATCACTGCAAAGCTTCAATGTATAAACCATGGTTATATTAATTGCTTCTCCCAGAATTGAAGATGGTACAAAGTCATTGCTATTTGATTAGTCTCATTGTAGCTATAATGTTGCACGTGCAGATGTACAGCAGTTTTCTTAAACTTTGACCAGGTCATGTAATTTAGGAGCCATATAAATGGCTGCATTTATGCAGCACTGTGTTATATTTGCTGAGACCTCAGTTCGGGTTGAGTTTACGGTTTTACCCCGATGTTACATACAAATCTAAGAAAGGGGACGATTCAGGGACGTCGCTGGACATGCGGGGTCTCCTGACCAACTGTGACCTGCGGCTGCACACAAGGTTCCGCTGTCGTCTGTTGGTGATTGGTGGGCGTCTGCTCAGCCTCCTCCACAAGCAGCCAATGCTGTTACTCCCTCAAATGCCGTTTGTCTGCATCTCTTTTCCAATGCAAGGCCCCCATACCCAGCTGTCCAGTAGATGGACAAGGAACCTGAAGTCTATCCCAGGTTGCTCAGGGCATGAAGCTGCAGAACAACCTGGACAGGCTGCCAATCAATTACCTTGGGAGGAAACCACAGGACTCAGAGGGACGCCGGACAGGCAGGGGAAAAATATCCACTGGCCACATACACCGAGCTGGTGGCAAGAATCGAACCCATATCCTCAGAGGTGCAAGGCTACAGTGCTACCTACCAAACCGCTACCTACCAAGATCCCTTCTCAAATGTACATCTGTTTGATTGTAATGTAAAAATGACAGGAATTATTATGGCACAACAAAACAAAGTGAAAAAGAGCAAAATAATTCAAGCTAGCGGGTAACAAAAAGGTTTTCCTTTAACAGGCCTCTCTTAACTTACACCCTGTGGATTTAGCTGCTAACTTGATTAGCACCTTCACCTTGAACAAGGACAGTTTCACTAACTCACTGCACGTTATCTGGGTAAAACACTTTTCTTACGGGTTACCATTTATAGCAGATCAGCCCCCATCCACGTTTCTCTCTCTCTCCCACTCTGTCCTTTTCCCTTCACACTCTCTCATCCTCTCTCTCCCTCTCTCACCCTGCATCTCCCACACCACCCCCGTCTTCCTCTCTCCTCCTCATTCTATTTCCTGCTCATTCCCTCCCTCTCTTCCCCCCTCTTCTGCTCTCTCTCTCTCATCCCACTCCAGCCTGTCTTGCTCCCTCTCTCTGCATCACCTGCTTTAAAAAATATCTTATAGATGTATTTTACATGACTACAGTCAGGGGTAGCAATAAAGATTTTGGAGCCCATTAAAGTGTATCATACTGGTCCCCCAACCCAGACCAATCCGATTATGTTCCAAATTTTTTAGAGCCCCTGAAACTCCCCCACCACCCCTTTATGGCACCCCAGACTACAGTTAAAATTTTGTGTTTAAGGGCATGATTTGTTTTTCTACAGATATACATTTACGCTTATTTTTTCCATACTTACACACCATGCAAAATCTCACACTGCGAGGAAGGCATTCATTTTAGAAATCAAGAAGGAGTGCAGTAAAGACGAGAGAAGATTGGTATTTTGGGAGTACAGTGTGTCATCATAAAGCAAAAATACATAATGAGAAAGAAGTACTGTGGACAGAGTAACAGAGAAACTGACAGCATTCTGCCAGCTGCCACTGCAAATCAATCTGTCATCCAGCAGAATGTGGCAAGCTGCTGAACTGCAGTCGATGCCTGTTGTCCCAGCAGGAAAACGAGCCAGTGTGCCAAGCAGATGAGTGCTCAGTGTAGGTGTATTAGTGTGGATGCATAATATGCTGTGTTCTTAGCACTGTGGAGGACAGGAGGAGAGGGACCAGGTGCATTTATGTGTGACAGGGAACCAAGCACAGGTAAGTGTGTTAGGAGACCATGCAGAACTAGGTGTGTCAGGGGACCAAAGGAGACCGGGTTCCGTTACTCTGTAACCTGCTGAAGGGCACTACTCTGATTCAGAGTCTCGCTCTCTCTCCCTCTCTCTCTCATTCATTCATTGTAAAACTTTTCAATGGGATACACAGAGAGCCTCCTGACTTCCACCCCAGTGAGCTGAGGCACAGTATCTACCTTCATATCTGGTCATAAATTCACACATCACACCCAATCAGAAAGCCAGCCTCATAACAGTTAACGAGCCAAACTGGTAAGGCTTCAAATACTGATATCGCACCCAGATTACAAGTGTTAAAACCTATTTTAAATTATGTAGGCATGTGTGACAATTCATGTAATGGTTCAGTAGTAGAAAACGGTGGGTTTGAAACTAATAACAATATTACACACAATCACTTTGTAACCAATACAAATGTGGCCACTAACCAAAAGGAATGTGACAACAATAATAAGATCATTAACCAGAAAAAAGAAGAGAATGTAATCATTCACCTTTAAACAAAATGGGCACGGCTAATGCAACATGAAATACTAATTCTAAGTCATAGGTTTTTCTTTTCTGTTAGTCTGAGTGAGGTGGATATACAAAGTAAAACTTTTAAAAAGGCAAATTCATCTAAAAACACAAGCAATATTTCACAAATAATCCATGAATCCGTTTGAAAACCACTTATCTAGAATGTGGCCATGATGAGCCTGCAGTCCGTAGTGAGAAGCAAAGATCACGTGACGGGGAAGGCCAGTCCATCACAAGCCACACTCTCACCCTCATATCCCTGCACTCAATACCATTTATCATCACGAAGAAACGTATCACCAAGCAGGATCTCTAGCCGACTTGGATAACTTGTCAGATTTAAGGTACCCCAGTTTAAATGGGCTTCATCTTCTGACGCTAACTTCTAGCTCACCCTACCTCATATATGACAAGTCATCCGGCTACAACGGAAATCCAGCTTCGTCACACAGGCCCCAGTTGATTTATCCACACTTTTTTTTGTGAGACTGGAGAAAGAACAATGGAACAATGAAAGAAGATATACCCTCCAAATACAAAAATCCTTAGAAGTGTAAGGGCACAGTGTTAACCACTGAACCAGCATTCCACTCCTAACAATAAAAACAACAGCAACAAGCATCTGTTGTTATTATTGTTGTTTTGTTGTTGTTTTTGTTGTTGGGGCGGAATGCTGCTTGTTACAGTAGTAGCAGTAGTAGTTATAACAGCGGAAGTAGCAGCAAAACATAAGCAAACAAAGCAGAAGGCACTGGGTCATGTTGTAGCGCTATTTAGAATCACAAGGCCAGGCAGTGCATCTTACCTCTTTCAGAATCAGAGGTGCTGTCCGGCCTTGTGGTCCTGAACAGGATGCTGAGGCAGACAGTGCCTGTGTTCTGTTTTCAGGACCACAAGGCTGGACAGCGCCTCTAGTTCTGAAGGAGCCTGTCTGTTTCATTACCCCAGTCTTTTATATTTATCTTTAACAGGGACATTTGAAGGTTAAGCGGAAATCCAGAGCTTATCTCAGAAACTGTATAACATGGTGACAGTTATTTGAAAAAAGGCATTAAAAAAAAGATTTGAGACTTCACTAAAAATATTTCGGTCTTAAGCCTAGGGCTTAAGGCTGAAAATTATACTATTTTATATGTTATCGAACAATATACATATGTCATAACAAACACAGTCCATACTGAGTGACTGATTAAGAGAAAATAAATAAATTTGAGACCCGTATACAATGGCAAACAAATTCAAGAAAAATACCTGAAAACTCTGCATGTTTTAAAACAATAAATAATGCTGTCTTGCCTTTTTTCAGCAATATGATATGTAAAAGAGTGCTGGTTTAGAAAAGGGGGATGCCGATTCTCTCCCGGTGGTAACCTTTACAGGGTGTCCGATCAGAACACTGGGTTTATTTGCCTACCTCTGACAGGTTATTCTATAGCTGGATAATAAACATTTGCTCCGGTTACAAAGTATAGTTGCGGTACGAATAAACTGCATACTCACTCAGCATGCACACACAACTACACCATAAAACCCAACAATACTTTGTAGAACTACAGCGTATAACTCTGCATCCAGCCTAAAGGAAAGAGAAGAAGAAAAAAAACCAAGGTGGGGTCCTGCGTGATGCCTCCAATGGCCGAAATAATGCCTGCTCAAAACACTGTACAATATATATATTGTGTGCGTGTGTGTGTGTGAAAATTGTTACTCAGTGAAGAAAAACAAAATAGCTTATTGAGAGAACATGTGTCATGCAATATAGGAAGGACTGTGAGATTGCAGTGTCTGTAACCTGCATCCGACCCCACTTTGTTCAGCCATTCATAATAACCATTGGTTGTGGCCAGATATGTTATGCTATGTTGGGCTGTCCATGTATTCACGCTTTATCTCAACTGACATAGAACATTATTTAAAGTTGAACGCTGTAAAACTGAAACATTGAATATTGCAGAAAAGGCTGTTAAATGAGCGGTTTGTTAATTGTACAGTGTTATGTACAGTATATATATATATTATGTATATATGTAGCTTATTAAGAGAAAATGTGTCATGCAATATAGGAGGGACTGTGAGATTGCAGTGTGTGAAACACATTCATTACTGAAAAAAGGTCTTAAACCACCAAAGACAATTATGTGTAAGATTAGTATATATACAAGTAAAATTAATTACAACGAAGGGTTACAAAAATCTTATCTGCTCTCCAGAAAGTTACTGATACCCTGCTGGATAACATGAGCAGCACAGCTGTGGTACCCAAACCTCTCCTCTGGGGGCAGCAGAGCTTTCCCACGTTTAGCTTTAATCCTACCACCAGTTCCCTTGATTCAATTGATTAATAGTGTTCAAGTTCAACAAATTGATGAGTATAATACTTGGCTACTGCAAATACTTCAGAAGATGCTTCAAAACGGCAAGATCGTCACACTTTGACAGATGTCTAAATGTAGTTTTACACCAATAGAAACATAATTTAAACAAAGTTTTCTTTAGCAGTCTAAGAATTTACTTAAATTTACTTTTACTTTAATTTACTTTTACTTTAATTTACTTTTAATTGTACTGCAATTCTTTTTCTTGTATTACAAACACATTTGGGAATGAGAAATGCAAATATTCTGTTTATTGTTGATTGCGCCATTTTAAATAATATGTGGAAGACGGGCATTACGGTGAGTATTTTGTCATATCGTAGAATTATTTTTAGCTATAAGTCAAACCATGGTGGGCCTATAGCTATTGAGTGAGGCTGCAAATCAAATCAGACTGAGAGAAATAAGATAAAATCTGCCCTGATTCTGTGAGAATTCTTTTCTTTAAGAGTTACGGTAGTGTAGTGTGAGCCAATCCAGTTTCAGATGCATCATAACCCTACATACCATCCTGCTGAAACAGCATCTAGCACCGTGGTGCTGAATTGTTTGTTTTTAGCATTTTGGCCCTTAGCACATACTGCACTAAAAATAAATTAGGAGAGGAATTTCCAAATACACTGACTATATTGTGTTGTTCTCAAAAACTTTGTTGAAATGATTCCATAAATATACAGCCCTTTATATTTTTTAAAATATTTTAAAAGTCAGAATCACAGAGGAATTCATGTCTCTGTACAAATGTCCCCATCCATCCAGAGAAAGAACTGTTTCTAACTGCTTAACAAAAGACTCAGTAGAAATAACGGTTTACAAAAAACTCTCAGTGATGATCAGTAATTGAGTAAATATCACCAGAAAAAAAGGACAACAAGAACATTTTAGGCCTAACTAACCTAACTAATCCGCAATTATATATTAACTTTTTTGATTGCATATCTCACAGTTTCACAGGTATAATATTTAATTTCAAAGAAACCTTTACATATTAACTAAAAGTCAAAATGTATACAAAAATAAAAATCGATATTATATTTTAAAAACCTTCCCGTTTCTCACCTTCTCCCGGGTCGGCAGTGTTTGGTTCCGTTTCAAAGAATCAGCCCCATTAATACTGATCAGTTCAGCATCCGCAGGCGGGAACGGCGCCGGGAAAACCACTAC